CTTTCCCTGTATTGGAAAAAGTGCTACCAGAATGCAATGGTAGAAACAACATTTTCACAATGTGCTGTGGAAGCAGGAACCCATGCTACAATCTTCTCCTCCTGAAACACTGCAATGCTTTCTAGCCACCAGATATGAAGACACTTGCTAAGTGATTCTCTGGAAAGAATAGCCACACCAGGTGTTACAGCCTGACTATAAACAGTTCAAACAACAGAGAAAGGCACCTAAGCGAACTGAGAGGCCCCTCCCACACCAAGATGTGAAGTGTAGTATTTGAAGTGATGTCCTTGCATCACTACCCATCACTGAGGAGAAAGGAAGAAAGAAGGCAACAAAAAGAGCAGGAGGCTTCACTCACCTCTGCTAACACTGCAGCAGGTTTCCCCACTTCTCTTAGAAGAGAAACGTCAGTAGAGGCAGAGCGTAAAGGCCCCCACTTGAGCTGCTTTTGTATCTCTGGTATCTCACTGTTCTCTCGACCCTGCAGTTCAGGAAAATCCAACCTGGTAAATTCAAACTCAGGTTTGGAGGCAGATCCACTTTTTTCAATGATTCTGGATTTCCTGTCTGTTCGTTTATAATAACCATCTGTATTTACAGAATTAAAAGTAGGGGTAAAAATTTAGATGTTGTCTAATGACCTGTACTCACACTTAAATTGCAGAGTAGAAAGTCTATTGCTATTGATGCAACATGTTATTGTCCAAACAGCCTAATTTTTTGTAGTGTTGTTAACCTTCTCTGTAACAGTGGAAAACATAAATGACCATGGGGGCCACCAAGCAGAAAAACGAAAACACACTGCAAATTTTAGGAGTAATTCTAAAATGGATGAAATAGCTACCTGAACCTGACTGTGCAGCTGGGCATTTCAATTATTCTTAATACACACTTTAGAGATGTGTGAGATTAAGGGGACTCTTACAAATTTTCTTTAAATAATAAAATTTCCATGTTTTAGTTTGCTGGAAGAAACTGGAGAGAAACAAGTAAAATTAAACTTATAACCTCTTTCCCATCTTTCTCCTTCAAATGCAAATGAATGATGCTACAGGTTACAATGCCATAAAGCCCCAGCATTTTTTAAATTATTTAATTGTAAGGCTAGAGTTATTACAGTTAACTGTTCAAATTTTCTTTCACATTACCATGTAGCAGATGGTTTATGAGTGAAGTCAACACCAAGAGAAAAAGTTACATATCAAGTAACAATAAATTACACATGTAAATAAAATGACAGACCATTCCCAATAAGTACGCTATTACAAAGGTTTTAAGTTATTATATAAACAGATGATGGCTGTGATCAACGTGCAATAGTAAGTAATTTACACGAAAAAAACAAGACATCACATATAATCACTAACTTTCAGCCAGAGACTGGAACAGCAGTTTTCAAGACCAGAGCAGACATGTCCTCTGCCCCAGGTTTGGTATTGTTTAGGATGGGATTTAAACCACAGCCAACTCTCCCACATATTAAAAAGTGTCCCAACAGAATACCAGAGAAGCTATTTCAGGGATGAACATGATCAAATATAGTACAAGGGATGTGACTGTAATTCACTTTTATTTAACAACTGTCTTGAGGCGGGTGATTATCACCTACTTGCTATGTGACTTTACAGAAGTTCTTGCATAAAACAAGGTAATAACATGTTAAGTACAGGTCATAGAGCCCACACAAACAAGTTCCCTCCCCGGGAGGAAAGGCCCCCAGGATCCCACAGGAAACCTGATGGCCTCAGTTTTTCATGATGAGTAAGCCCCACAAAAATAGTTCAAAGAACAGAGACGTTTCTGGGGGTAGACAAGGTAGGAAGACATAACATACAGAGCATGTAATTTTTACCTGATTTCAAACTATTCTCAGCATGAATGGACATACGAGGTGAACTTTTAACTGATTTTAAATCAGATGATATAGGTCCATCAGTCTTCTTAGTGCCAAACTTCTGCTCATCAGAGGTTTTCTTCTGCAGGAAACATTAAAAAGTAAACATAATTGAAAAGTAACATATTAAAAAGTAACATAAATTCACTATAAAAAAGGCTCAAATTTGCAAATTCATAAGTACAACTCAACCATTTTTTAGAAAGGTTAGACTGTATCAAATTTTAAATATCTCAAAATTTAAATACGTTAAATAACACGCAAGAACTTACCAGTTCTTTATGTTTTAAATGCTAAAGTGATCAACAAAACCAAAACATTTACAGACCTTAAACAGAGCTTTTGTGTCTTGCGGGAGAGGGCACACGTGCTCGTTTCGTGGCTTCACGGTTTGAAAACCTCCGAAACAACTGAGTTGGTTGTAATCATACTGGGAGCCAGGCACTGGGCAAACATTTTGTGACGACTCCAGGGTGTAAGGAGAATAGGCATATGGATGAAGAGGGATCTCAGGAGATAAATACTGAGGTGGAAAAGTTGAAGCTCCAAAAGCCATATCTTCAGCATAGAGTTTCTGTCTAAATAAAACGGGTAAATTTTAGTTGCAGATTTCATACCACAAACCAAGGAGCTTAATATTTTGTAATAAATTTAAACTTTTTACTATTTTTGAGGTCATTTATTCTAGCAATACCTCAAATTAAAAACCAAATAAAACCTCTGAGTACTTCTTTCTTAACCTGCAAAGAAAGATGCTGACCTAGTTCTGTTTTTTTCATTACTTATCTGGAACCTCCATGAAAGGACCCTATTATAAGGAACATTAGAAAAGCCCAAGGATGCTCCAGCAGCTTTCCACTCTCATGCTGTCAAATATTTGGGAAAGCCTCTCTCAGCAACCCTGGCCAAAAAAGCCATCCAGACCATTCTCTCAGTAGAGAGAGTTTTTTACTGCCCATCCAACCTCTACCCCGACAACCTGCAGGGCCTGCCTCCTGAGGCCCCAGGTGCCCGCAGACAGCCTGCCCAGCCCCTTCCCTGCTCCAAGCCCACTGCCACATCCTGTGCTCTACTGACTCTTGGGGCTGGAGTTGCAATGGGGACACTATGCACAAGGTGGTCCAGGAACTACACACGCTGCTAACAAGATGGAACCATCTGTGAACTCTGCTACTGCCTCAACTTTCTCAAGCTACTAGGCTAAACTGAAATATAATTTAACATTGATTTTTTTTTTTTAGCAAATTTGGTATACGGCCAGAGGTTTCAACCATTTTGCAATGAAAGTTGATACAATGACAAAATGCTAAGCAGCTGAGTTAAATACAAATCACTATCTTCTCATCCCTACAAATAAGCACTAGCAGATGTTTCTGTGACTTTCCAGAGCTCCAAATTATCTTGTAGCAAATCAATGAAATCCCAAAGTGTACTGGTCCACTGAAAGGCAGGAAGAGCCAAAGCTAATGATGAGACATCCCATATGATCTTCCAACTGTTCAACTGTCAGGAGATATGGGCGTAGGCACCACTTACTAGAAGTCGTGTTTCTACTCTGCTGCAAGTAAGAGTCTGCACTGAGGAAGGAAAGGAGTCGCTAATCTACAGGCTAGACCTGTTAACACACTGATGAGACTGTTCACTGCTTTCGCTTCCACGCAGCACTGAACTGCCTGGAATCACTGTCTATTAATTCATGACATTTTATAATAAGTTTAAATCTTGTAAGATCTTTTTCTTGTAAGCAGTTGATTCTAGTAATGAAATATTCCTGATTAAAACTCCAACGAACCCCTTAACTGACCATTTTCTGCCCCACAGAACACCTGGCCTAGTGCTGCTATTTGCTGAGAAGAGAAAGATTCAAAGCTTCATCCTGCTCCCCAGATGCTAACCCTAGATGTGAATCTCTGTTTTATTTTGTTTGATGCTCAGAAAATCTAATGGAGGGCAGATGAAGGTGAAGAACCTGTTCTCCACAAAAGAAGATAGGCAAAGAAGATGGGCTGATAGCAAAAAAAAAAAAAAAAAAAAGTTAAAATGACTAGCCCAAGTCCAAAAAATGGATAAATGAACAAACCAATGAAATTCAGGTAAAGAAGGAAAGGGAGGTGGGAGGAGGCAGGATCCAGTAGTGGTTTTGAAGGCTGTTGTCACCCAGAAAATTTTTCTCCTGTGAATCAGGAGACCTCGGTTTGGGTCACAATTTGGTTTCCCCCTTTGGACAAGTCACTTGGGTTTCTATCCCCTCACTGATCCTTCTTCCTCTGGAAAGTTGATATTTTTCCTTTCCATCCCAGGTAAATATAGTTACATGCAGAGAGCAATATACAACACAAAACTTCAAAGAGATAACCCACAGCATCTGCGGATGGGGCTTCAAATGGCTTGTCTCTAAAGTTCCAGTTGCCACGAATCACTCAGACGGCCCTTAACCACAGTAACACACGTCCTCTATGCCCCACCGTCTCACCTGCCCCCCTCCTTTTGCTATTAGCAGCCCCTAACCACCCCTGCTAATCTCTCAGTTTCACTTCCCCTTACCCCATCACTACCGACGACCACCAAGTCTCCCAGGACCCTCCTTCCTGCCAAGCTCAGTAGCCTCTATTGCATGGTGTCTACTTCTATCACATCACTTGAAAAGCTCCACTAGCCTGCACTTGGCAGCCTCTGCCCTCTCCTTGCTCTCACCCATTTTCCAAAGGTTCCTCCATGGCGTGGCCTCCTACACTCTCCCTATCTCATCTGGCAGACTCACTCTGAGTCAGAATTTCTCCTCGTTCTGCTCAGGACTTCACTTACATACTTAAATTCCAACACTTTCACCACCTCCAGGCCTCTATCTCCAACTTACAGGTCATTTCCACTTAATAGTTAGTTCACTTTTCCCCCATCTGGCACATATAGTTCCAAAACATAACAACTGGTCCCCAAACCAGCCCCACTGCCAACTTATGCTCTCACGAATAATCCCAAATCTTTCCATGTATTCAACTGGAAACTGCTATAGCATCTTTTCCACCCTTTCCTCTTGCAGCAGGTCTCCAGGTATTTTCTTCTCTATTTCCAGTGCCTAGAACCCAATCAAAACCTTCAAGCCCCTTTCCCTTAAGTTGAGCCAGAAACCAGAAGTGATTATCATGACCCCAACCAAAACACCCCCAAGAGCTCTCTATTTCCTACCCAACAAACCTAACTTTTCAGCTGTACCATGTAGGCCAATAGACTAGTGGCTTCCCCCTAACAATAGGGCCATACTCCTCTACTGTCTCCCAAACATATCTTGCATCTGGTCCCCTCTAACCAGGCCAGGACCTGTCAGGAATCCAGTCACTCCTCCACCCACCCACCTGACATGAGCCACACTCTGTGGAGAACTGCTAATTCTCATAGATGAGAGGTTTAACTTAAAAGCATCCATTGACACTGTGATTTTTACAGTATACTACAAGATACTGAAAAAGCTCAACTTTACCGACAGCAATAGCAGCTTTGGGGAATACAATGAACTCAGGTCAGAAGAACTGAATGCTAATTCTGGTCCTGGTGCTACGTCTCTGAGGAACTTTGGACAAGCATTTCTACTCTCAGTTTCTCCTGTGTAAAATAACACTACACCTCCCTGCCAACCTCATGGATTGTGGCAAGCATGAAAGAAATGAACATATTCAGTAATTCCCAAACAAAACACACATGTCCTCATGCATGTGTTACACAGGATTTGTCACAAAGCAGGTACTATGACATTCAACAAAGCCATCGTCCAGGGAGGATGACTGGGAACAGAGAACTTACTTTGTTTGCATAACCTCTATTTGTTCATTACACCAGTAAATACTACTTCCCAAACATGGCCAATTCTATATACCAGAATACTTCTATTGATATTTGTCTTGTCTATAACATAAACCTGGAGGAGATTGGTAGTTCGTGTTCTTCCATCTCCACCAGTTCAAATCTATATATAAGACAAAAACAGGAGCATAGCTCATGAGACAGTCTTTCCCCGCTTAGGAACTCGTGCTTTTCCATATAATAGCCTTTCACTAATGAACTCCAAATGAATAAATGAAGTCCCTTGGCAAGCACTGCTAGAGGTACTAAAGATGGATATTCTGTAAAAGGTCACTCCTTTAAGGACATACAGAATTAGGTTGCTATACTGGAATAAGTAGGAAAAAGGACATATGTTTGTTAAAAAAAGTCTACTCCTTTTTTCAAGGCAGCAAGAGATCTCCATTTAAACAAAATCTGACTATAGCAATGCAAGTCTTAACTTATATTAGAACTGACTAGATAATCACTTCTCTATTGTGTAAAGTCTCACCATTTCATCCCCACTTTAAAGGCATTCATTCTTTCTCAACTTGCCCTTTGGTTTCATGCCTCCTTTGTCTTTGTTTTCTTGCCAGGCAGGAATACTGTCAGTAAACCTTTTCAGTGGTTATAAACAATTTAAAAAAAAAAAAATCAAAGCTATAAAGGGATAAGGGGTTAAGAAACATAATTTTAAAATTCAGCATTTAGCATCCTTGAGCCTCTGATTAGTCTCAATTCATGTTATTGCCAGAATGCTGCTTTAGCTATACAAATATTTTCCACCTTTATTTTGGGTCACTAGAATTTCACCCAGCAGATGACTTAAGAGTTCTTGTCACTGAGTGCGATACATCTTGTATTTTATTATGTGAGCCACTCAAGGTAGGAAATGACTCAAAAGAGACCCATGCCAACCTCCCTTTTACAAAGGATGAAATTACAATGGAAAACTTGGTATTCCTACCAAAGACCTTCAGCACATTCAGGCAGGACTTCAACTTTTGTCAAAAAATATAACTTTCCTATTTCCTAAATACACCAGACAACCCAATGATTTTCCTATTCATTCCAACTTTCATTCTTGTGAATAGAGTTCTAGAATTTGTATGAAGTATAAACTACTTTCAATTACGCAATGTAGGTATGGGGAAAAAAAGGAAACAAGTCTGACCCAACAAAGGAACATAAAGACAAGGATTTTTACATAAGCATAAAGGTGATTCATGCCTTAAAAATAAACCTACAAGTAATCCACACAATTATGTGCAAGGCTTAACATTTATTTTTCTAAATTCAGCTAATAAATGAAACCATTTTGTAAACACCTAGAGAATAAATCCTGAGAAGGGAAAAGAACATTTAAAGGACAATATAAGCCTTCTTTCAACTCAAATCTAGAAGAATTTATAACCAAAATTTGTAGAATCCATCTCCATAGGACACGTATAAAGCAAAACAGATAAAAGCAAAACCCACTCATTCCTCATGTTTATTTGGGCGTGTCTTTGCCCTATTTCCTCTCACCCACTCATTCCTGCCATTTCGTCTCCCATTAGATACATGATACACTTATAAACTGTATGCACAAATGAACTGCATTTCCCACTAATAAATGCAATGCTGTCTCCACTTTCTGTGCCAAAAATAATCAAATGAATATGGAGAAAAAAAGGAGAGCTGGAGCTTCAGTTTTTGGTGTGGGACAGTTAACTTGTGCTACTGGCTCAGACGCTTCTTGGCTGAGGAGCATCTTCTCCAGTTGCTCTGAAAACGTTAATGTGTTAGCTGCAGCATATTTCAAGTCTAATCACCATTAAAGTCAAGCAACAAAGTCCCCAGGTAAGGCAAGACATTCAGAAGGATACATACTCAGGCACTGCTAGTTCCTGGACACATGGATAGTATGTCGTGGCTGCACAGCTGGGAAAAACGCGTGCTTCTGAAGACTCTGACCATGCCACACTGAGCCCAGCAAATTTAGGGACAAATGGTTTGACATCTGCTGACAACTTGATGCCCTGAGGAAAAAAAGGGGGTTTTGGCTACCTTCTGAGATCAACCAAGTTGGGGGGGGGGGAGGGAGAATCCCTCCCTTCTCGAAGCCCCAGAAATGCTAATGCTGTTGTCCAAATACTTCTGCCTAGCAAGAACAAGAATTTGTTTGCTAACAACTTCTCCGCACTTTTTCACTAGAAAAAAATCTACCAAATATTAAAAATGAAAAATAAGGACAACCAATTAAAGTGAGAGTAAAAGTCAACCCAGACTGTATAGTTAGAACCACAAGTGACAACGTTTCCTTAGCTTTAACGTAGAATACGGTAGTTTACCTCTCTCGGCTGAGTTAGGGACAATCAAGACTGTCAAACTTAACTGTAGCGCTCAAAACACACTGCGGAAATTTATTTCTATTGAATTTCCCAAAGAACTTAAAACTGTTGCTTTTCACTCAGCGAAGCACTAAAAGTTGTTTTGTTGAAACGCAAAAGTAAGCGTTGCTAGAAAATCTTTCTATCGCCATAAGCCCTTGGAATACGAATATAAAAAAATTTGTTGGGCTTTTTTCTTTCAGTTTTTACATCTGTATTGAGAGATTTACTTCCATTAACAACTTATAATCATGGTTTTTAATTTGTGTGAAAGCCGATTTATGCGATTGCCAGGGCTCCTTCTAGAGGTACTCTGAGCACGTCGAGCAGACTTCCGCTTCAGAAAACGTTACTAACAAGATGCTTTATACACTCCGCTCCCAATCAGCAGTGCGGTGAGCCGGCACGGTAGCGCAACCCCTCCGCAGCCTCGGGAGGAGAGGCGGTTTCCCGTCGACAGCGTCCTTTCTCACCGCGTTTAACGGCGGGCCGTGTGGGCGCGACCGGGGGCTGGGGACCGCAGACGCCCACCCCGACGCCCCCGGCCCTGTCCCCAACCAGCCTCCGGGTCACGCTAATCCAGCTCCTACCCCGTCCGCGCAAGACCATCATTTTGGGGCGCCCAGGGCCGCCATCCTCACCTCTCCCGCGGACTCCCGCGGTCCCTCCGACGCCATGGCGGGTGGCTAGGAAGAGGACTGGCCAGTTAGGCCAGTAGCCCGACGGCAGGCGGAACGGAAGCGCAACGCTCCTCCTCTCGGCTTTTCCACCTTTGGAGCGAACTCTAGGAACTGCGTCACAAAAACGCGCCCCGGCCCCGCCCTGCTTCCGGCCGGAAGTGTGAGCAGTGACGGCTTTGGGCCTGCGCAAGGTGCCTGGTGGGGTGACCCTCTGGGCCGCTAAAGCCAGGCGCGTGCCGAGTGTGGAGTTATAGGAAACTGTCTCCGCAAAGACAGCGGACAACCCCCGGAATGCGGTCGGCCAGGCCTGGACGAGGTAACGGTGCACAGGGTGGCGGGCACCTGGAGCGGAGCAGGGGTCTGTGTGGAGGCTGGGGACTTAAGGGAACCGCATACCCTGTAGTCCTACGAAGGGAGAAAGCCAACGAGATTTGGCGTCTTAAATTTCCAGGAACCTAAAGCAGTTTGGAAGTAACCGCGGAAAAGAATTTCAAAACTGCTCAGTTCAACAGACAGCTATTGACCACTAGGGAATGTGCTGGGAAAGGTAGAGATGGAAAAGTAGGGTGGAAGTAAGCAGTCTCCAGGGCAGGAAGTGGGAGACACGGAGTGAGGAAGTGGGGAGGGAGGGACGGTGCAGAGGCAAGAACTCTTGCTTACTTTGTGAAGAGTGCAAGCTGTTTGACCGATAGCGGTTAATTAGGTTGAAAATCTTAAACTGGAGACTGATTGTAGGTTTCCTCTGTTGAGTGACTACCAGGTATTTCAAGCAGTAAATGCAGGCAGCTCCAGCTCATCTCCTGGTGTCCTTCTGTGCAGATCCCACAGGGCGATTAAACACTTAGACACACCCAAACCTCCAGAGTGGGGAAAGGTTGAGCATTATGCAGTAGACTGGTCTGTACTAAATACAGTAGTTTAATGATACTGGCATCCTTCTGTTGTCCTAACCTGGGACCTCTAGCCAATGGGTGGGTCCCTGGGGATGGAATAAGTTCTAGGCTCCTGCCCATCACCACCTTCAGTGTTTATTTTGCTCATTGTGTAAAGGCACCACCCTTTTCTAAAGAGAGGGGCATAAAGGACCACCACACTGGGGTCTGGGGTCTTATGCTTACTGGCAGCTCACCTAAAAGGTTTCTCCAGCATAAAGCAATGAAGATAAAAAACCTCTGTTTGTATTCACTCTAAAATATTTTCCTAGCAGCTAAAAAAGCAATTTAACAGACACAAGATGCACACCGAAGGAAGGAAGGGTGCTTTCGAAGTTTTTAAAATGCTGATATTTTATAGAAAACTGTATCCCCATTTGGCACATTGGGAAAGAGAAATGGGGTTAAATGGTTTCTCCCAAGGTAACTAGGTGTGGCAGTATTTACATAAGTGGAAGTAGCCCAGAGTATAAAGTTGGGTTGCTTTTTGTTCAGTTGGAGATTCTAGACAATTCTTTAGGAATTAAATTAATGACAGAGCCATAAAGTCTACCTTGGGTCTATTAAACTTATCCCTAGTTCTTAGTGTCTTCATAAGTGAATTTAAATGGTACCCCCTCAGGATTTCCCTGGTGGCGCACTGGTTGGGAATCCGCCTGACAATGCAGGGGACAAGGGTTCGATACCTGGTCCGGGAAGATTCCACATACCACGGAGCAGCTGAGCCCATACGCCACAACTACTGAGCCTGTGCTCTAGAGCCTGTGTGCCGCAACTACTGAGCCCACGTGCTACAACTACTGAAGCCCACACGCCTATAGCCCATGCTGCACAACAAGAAGCCACTGCAATGAGAAGCCCACATACTGCAACGAAGAGTAGCCCCACCTGCCACAACTAGAGAAAGCCCATGCGCAGTAACAAAGACCCAACACAGCCAAAAATTAAAAATAAGTAAATTAAAAAATGGTACCCTCAATCACACCAAGCTAATGGGTTTAAACCCACCTAACATTTTATTTCTATAAAGTGAATTTATTTCCTCAGGACTAAAATTATAAAACTGAAATCATCCAACATCCTCAATAGTCACAAATTAACCTTAAGAAAACAAACCTCAGTAACTTCAAACAGTGATAAATGCAACATACAAACTTTATTTAACAAAAGAAACAGGTAAAGTCAAACAGGCACTTACATTAAAAGAAAAACTGACTAGAAATTTTAAACACCTTACAGTAACCTACTTGTAGTTGCACTTAACTGAGCTTTGTTGCTGTGAAGAATACAGCTCATGCACAGGAATGGATGAACACTTTGTACATTTTTCAAGTATTCACTGAATACTACCTTATATACACATATACATTAAATTTGAAAAAGATTTAATTGATGATCCCCAGATATACTTCATTTTTGTTGATCTTTTGGAAGAGGTCGTCTAAAGAGAAGAATGTGTGGTTCTGTAGAAAGAAAATGTTTTATATTATTTTAATATTATATGGTTAATTTTCATTCATTCAACATAAATTCAGATTTTCAGTTGAACCAAAATAAAGTAAAATAAATCTATGGTCAGTTAATGTTACTTATTGAGGTATCTGAAATAAATTTTGCTCCATGTCACTGTAAACAGTAAACAGAAGAAAACAACAGAACAATGAATATTCCCCCAGTTTTTACACACCCTAGAGAAAAGGGCTGTTAAGTAAAGATGCTATTTGAGAAGGAGAATGGTTTCTATCTTTAGAATCTCAATTCCAGTGAAAAGAAAAAGGTCTTCTCTCGTTTGGAAAAAACACTTAACACCTCATTCAAAAAATGCAGGTCCTAGGGGCCCATCCCTGTAGATTGTTTTGGCAGGTGGAGGACTGACTATGAACCTATAGGTAAGGTCCTCAGTTGCATTGTATTATCTGGAGAAACACCTTTTTAATATAATTATATGCTCCAATCCCAAGAAAGTTACAAGTCTTAAGAGTTTTTGCTGCTGCTGCTGCTTTCAACAAAAGCAGAAAGCAAGATAGCTTTAGTTTCACCTAATTCAGCTTCTAAGACTTCAAATTTTGTTCAAAGCAGTATAAGTCCTTTAGTTAGATTTACTGATAACCCAAAAACACAATTTAACACCACAAAGTTTCTTAGTCTGGTTTACTAATAATTACTAACAGTAATCTGGAAAACTCTCTGATAAATACGCAATAGCATAAGCACTCAAGTATAACACAGGCAGCACATTTGAGTTCACTAGCTCTGCTATCTCATTTCATCTTAATGTGGTAGATACTAATTGTCTAAAGGAAAAAACAAATCACTTCAAATTGCATCAATTTCTATAAACAGAACTTCAGGACACTCAGTTCCTTACATTAAGTTCTTAGTTTTCAAAGAGGAGATACCAGAATTCTAAATATATTTATGGCAAAATACTTCAAGATACTACTAGCAATGACACGCATTTTAAAATAAAACAATATCCTTTTCTTTTTTCTTAACTAAATAGGTTATTTTTGCAGTTTAGAAGAATGCATTATTTTCACTCATGGTATTTTATTTACTATAAAATTGGAACCGTCTCTAGGGAGGTATCAGTCATTCAGAAATAGTCAAGCTTATCAGAGTTACTTTGGGATACCACTGAAATGTCAATATTACTAAAAAATTTTTTAACAACCACTACTGTTTTAATTCAATTAGTGCTTCCCTAATAGCAAAACTTACCTGGCTCATGAATCATGTAATGAACCCAGCCTAGACTCTGTTGGACACCAAGTCTCCTCCACTCCTCTTCAGACATCAGATGGGTTTTGGGTACTTGTTTGGAAAGTTCTCTGGGTAACATGACATGCCTGTTAAAAAATACAGCGAAATATTAGTGCTCTAAGTGAATATGCCTTTCCTACAATTATGGTCACGTTATACATGCATCTTTAGATACTTAAAATTTGAGTTCTCTGCCCTTAAAGTTCTTTAAAGCAACCCTGTTACGTTACCATTAGCATCAATCTTAAAGACTACTCTCTACTACCTTTAATTCTGATCTTGATGGGCTGTGTTCAAATTAGAGATTAGAATATGCAGTCCAAAAGTAGAAGGCATTTTATTTATGATTAACTTTTTTCCCTAATAGAGACTGCTTGCTAATTGTCTCAATCTTCTTCAGGAATAGAACCTCAAAAACTAAGTGGGACACATGGTTATCCAAGACATCCCAGCCTCCCCTGCAGCTACCTCTGGTCACATGTGACTAAATCCTGCCCAACGGGATATAAGCAGAAATTATGCAACTTATGGAAAGTATCCTCGAAAGAAAAGAACATGCCCAATTCTCTTTTTTCTCCTTCCTGTTAGTTATGAAGCAGATTGATATGATCAGGGAGCTAGAGAAGCCATCTAAGACCACAGAAGTGATTATAAATTAAGAATGGTCCCTGATTTTAAGAAGTGTCATACTAGCCCCAGGTAGCAGGGGTGGGGGAATCTAGCTTGTTACAGTTAACCTGGGTTTCCTATTACTCTATAGATCTGTAGTAGACACAAGTCCTTGTACATAACTCCAGAAGTTGCTTTATACTTTGTTCAAAATTAAAAGCAAAAAACACTAAATGCACATATACATGTACCTGCTACCTAAAACAGACGTTCAGTTTTCCAATAAGTTACTGGCCTATATCCAAAACTTTAATCAATTTTTAAAGAAGGGATGCAATATTCTTCAATGTCAAACCGTCAAAAATAGGTACAATTAGAGCTTTGAAAAATTCTTAGAAAACAATATGCACCCCCACCGACTTCTTATTTAATTACAATTGAAAGGATCTTTATAAAAATCAAAATTCCCAGGCTCATTTTTAATCACTTCCAGCAGCAGTAGTTTTATACTGTCATCCATTACCACCAACCAAATTTTTTGACAAGTATTAGATATATGCCTGCAAATTTGTTGGCTGGGGTGTAAGAAGGAGCAGTCTGGTCACAGGAAAACTGAACCCATAACCCATAATAAGCACTAAACTGTCATCAACTTAAGTTCTAGTCTGCGAGTGGTTGGTTAAGTACCAGTTT